GTGTGTTGCTTCTGTTCTAAATCATGATTCAATGGATACACAAACCCTTGAAGCTGAACTTAATTTAATTGAACTACCCATGATTCTGTTCTCTCCATCAGAAGCGCTTTTGACCAGACAAGCTTTATTCCAGATTCCAGAACAGACTAAAAGAGAAACAAATGATGATGACAATCTAAGAGGCCTGAATTCATGACTCCATCAAATGTGGTATATATAAACCCTTGAAGCTTTTCAGGCACACATGAATTGTAAAATGAAACATGCAGCCTAACTTACTTTCACATCTAAGTCCATCTAATCGGTGCAAGTGGCCCCTAAGAAACTGAGCATTTGTCCAGGTCAGACAAAACTTCAACAGCCTTGAATGTTTCTGAAACTGCTGAAAAAAGAGGAAGGTGTGAATCAGAACTGGTCATTTAATATGTGAGAGGAAGAAAAACTCGTACTACTGCGGAAACCTTTCGCTGTACTTTTTAAAAGCCAAATAAAAAGATAAATGTAAGGACAATGTTTACATATTTATATAATCAGTTTTAATGTGCACATGTTCACGATTTTATATTCTCTGCAGCACAGTTTTAAACTAACCACCGTAGCTACCAGTGTAGCTTTTAATGTAAAACTACATCACAAATTAGGGTAGAAGATTCAGTTAATCACGGGCAACAGGCTACTGGTCTATTAGCTGCTTTACTGTCATCGTCAGTCACTCTAGAGACACAGTAAAATCCACCTTCTGCATCACCAGAACTCCAGTTTTCAGTTGTTTGATATGATTATAGAGTTCACTTCTACAGTATAGAGACAGTGACACTATCACCATACAGAAAGACTGAGCTCCATCAATATATATTAAGCACAAGATCTTTATTACTTGGATATCGTACTGTAATGTTAATCCTTTGGTAAACAGCTCTAAAATTGATTTAAAGGTAGTTCTTAGGTACTGATGAACATGTTATACCTTTCCCAGTCTCCCATTTAGTCCTCACAAAACAAACACTGCTCTTACTAAAGTCGTGAGTTGGTCTAAAAACATTATAATATAAATGACACATGATAAAGTAATGGTGAATAATAAATAATGATGTCAAAGAATGTGGATCTGAATGTTCAAAGCGTTATGAATACAGTAATGATCACTGTGTTGGTGCAAAAGTCAACAAAGTATCCTGAAGTACAGTCGTCACAAACCAAACCTGTTCTTATAAAGCAGGTTTAAGTCACTTATACAAAAACATGTCCCTCACAACAGCTTTAGTCAAGGACACAACAGGACACAACAGGACACAACATGTCCTTGTAATCAATAATCGCAGGACACAATCAAGTTGTTTGTTATTCAGGGTTGGGGTAGCTACTGAAAAATTAGTAGTTAGCTACTTTATAGCTACTTTCCCAAAATTTGTAGCTGCTACAGTTTAGCTACTTTTCCAGAAAGAGTAGAGGCTACTTTTTAGCTACTTTTAAAGCGTTATTGTCAGAATGTTTGTGAATCTCCACCTGACACACCAAACAAGCCCAGCTAACACACCAAACAAGCCCAGCTGACACACCAAACAAGCCCACCTGACACACCAAACAAGCCCAGCTGACAGTGTGAACAAGACACTGCATTTAGTCATGAGCCAGAAAGAAACAGACAATTGAAAATATACAAAAAGATGATGAAAAAGTGTGACCAACAATCAAACTTACACACCCAAAGGTGTGATATCCAACAAACATTAAGACTAAATGCAAAGTCAATCAACAAAAATAACCGAATACAAACCAGAGAATTTGTGCAAAGCGCTGTCAACTGTTGAAATAAAACTGCTCCAATTTAAACATTTCAGCAAGATACACTGATCAGGTATAACATCATGACCACCTCCTTGTTTCTACACTCATTGTCCATTTTATCAGCTCCACTTACTATATAGGTGCACTTTGTAGTTCTACAGTTACAGACTGTAGTCCATCTGTTTCTCTGCATACTTTGTTAGCCCCCTTTTACCCTGTTCTTCAGTGGTCAGGACCCCCATGGACCCTCACAGAGCAGGTACTATTTGGGTGGTGGATCATTCTGAGCACTGCAGTAACACTGACGTGGTGGTGGTGTGTTAGTGTGTGTTGTGCTGGTCTGAGTGGATCAGACACAGCAGTGCTGGTGGAGTTTTTAAACACCTCAGTGTCGCTGCTGGACTGAGAATAGTCCACCAACCAAAAACATCCAGCTAACAGCGTCCTGTGGGCAGCGTCCTGTGACCACTGTTGAAGGACTAGAGGATGATTAGCTCATACTGTACAGTGAGAGACGTCATCTCTGGATAAGTTGTCTGAGCATGTAAAGATCAGAGCAGTTCACTGTGGAACTGTTTACTCTGACAGATCATCACCCAGAATCTTTAACTAACCTGTAAAATGTGCAGATACTTTTTTATTTAACAAAGATTTACACATCAACACAACATGCAGCGATTCAGCAGTGCTGATTGGATGAACTAAACCATAAAAAATAAACAGAGTGACAAAAAGCAAAAATAAGGAAAAACATCAATGATTCTTCAATAATGCCTGAAATATTAAAGCAGTCAGTTTTATTGTGTTAAAGTGGAGCAGATTTGCTGTTTTTACAGAGATTTCAGGCGGTCACGTGTACATTTTCTTTCTCTCTCTCTCTCTCTCTCTCTCTCTCTCTCTCTCTCTCACTCTCTCTCTCTCTCACACTCTCTCTCTCCCGCGCCGCATGCATTCGCACGCCCGCAAGCACTCACGCGCGTCACTATTTGAGCCAAGACTTAAAACTTATATTAAACACAAATCTGAGAACAGGAACTGTCTGCAGTCTTTCTGTGATGATTAAATCATTAAACGGCCCAAATTCTACATTTTTCCTGTTTTTTATTTTTCTTCCGAGCTCCACTTATAATGTTTGTGTGTTTTATGTATCAAAAACAGTCATCATTCATTTTTCAGTGACCATTTTTCAGCCTCTCTTTATCCTTTTTGAAATAAACAGCTGTTTTTATTTCTGTGCTTTTAAGCTTCATGTAAATGAGCTCTGCTCTGATTGGCTGTACTGTATTGTGCTCCATTCAAAAAGCAGTCCAGGCTGAAACACTCTTATAACTTCAGTGTGAGTGGGCGGGGCTAAACTGCTGAAGGCTGAATAGGTGGATGTGTGTAAATGTGTAGGTTTTCATGACATCACAGAAACAACAAATTCAAAAAGGGCTGTTTTTCAGCTCAGTTTCCAGTGACTGAATGTTCTGGGAGACTCTGACAGTGTTCAAACACCACATCCAGCTCTTATTTAAAAAGGGTGAAGAACATTCAGCTCTCCATGATTTGGGCCCTTTAATAAAACTTAACGGTGACTTAACGACTTCATTCACTGTGACTCTGACAAAACATCTAACATTTTTCTGACAGTCACAGCAACAGTCACAGCAAATGACCTCTTGTGTTGCGTCTCTTGGAACCTGTGGAAGCTGCTCCTCAGGCTGGAACTGGTCCTTCTTGGTCACCAGAGGGTTAGTTGTGACCAGAACGTCTGTCTCAGCAATGTTCCAGAAACAGAAGTAAAATTCAGAAATGTGGTTCCAGCCATGATCTGATTGGCTGCATTAGACGCTGTTCTTGTGGTTGTAGTTGGTCTTTTTCATTTGCCATCTGTAAATATATGATTATGAGAATCAATGTGGAAGTTTCAGAAAAAGACTAGAAATGAAAACATCAGTTAATCTTGTTTTCATTCACAGTGAATGTTCATCTTTAATACCCTGCGTCTCCATATTAAAGCTCCTTATAGCAGATTTAGGGTTTTTCCTGCTACTGTGGTTCATTTTGGGCTAACAGGGTCATCATTCATCAAGTCTCCAGAGAGAGTCGTCTTCCAGAGCAGCATCAACACTGAACCATATAAATAAAGCATAACAGAACTTTTAGTTCTAGAACCACAAAAACTACAGAAAACCATTTAAAAATTAGCACATCAGCATCTCCTCACACATTACACTGACCAGCCACTTCATTAAGGCCACCTCCTTGTTTCTACACTCACTGTCCACTTTATCAGCTCCACTGACCGCATAGTTTCACTCTGTAGTTCTACAGTTACAGACTGTAGTCCATCTGTTTCTCTGATACTTTGTTACCCTGACTGCAGAAACGAGGAGGTGGTCTTAATGAAGTGGCTGTCCAGTGTCCAGCTAAATGAGAGAGTAATATCATTCATACCAAAAACCTTTCCACTGTAATGAAATTCAGACATGAACACTTTCAGGACATCATGATAGATTTTCTGTCTCCTTTCAGGTTCATGTTTAGTTATTAGTTCCTCTGTG